GTTCGCTATTTTAGAAAAGGTGGGGGAGGGGGATTGATCACTTTAGACACCATGTTTATACCTTTTTAGCTRCATCAATTATCGTCCAATCCAACGACGGCATAGAACGCGCCAAGAACGTGAAGTTTCCTGTRCCGAACGAGATCAACATTCAACTTCAGAAAAATTTGCAAGATGAAAAGTGAGAGTAGGAACGGCCACATGGTGGTCGAATTATAGTGGTGGTCGTTCTATAGAGGTGGTCGGCTAAGACAGGTTGTCGCTTATATCAGATCAAAGTTTTCTTTCGAAAAATATAAAGAATTGGTTGATCCATCACTATCACATGGTGGTCGACTTATGGTGGTGGTCGTTCTATAGAGGTGGTCGGCTAAGACAGGTTGTCTTTTATAACAGGTAAAAGTTTTCTTTCGAGAAATAGAAACTTAGTTGATCCATTACGATYACATGGTGGTCGACTTCCAAAGGTGTTTGTTCTTTTGAGGTGGTCGGCTAAGAAATGTTGTCATTTATAATGGGAGTTTGCTTTGCAAGAGATGACACAATTTGTCTTACACAAGCTGCGTGCAGGGATGTGCCTGAAGTGCATGCGAGGAAAGGTATTAAGGGGTCCTGATTGAGCCAAGTAAAGATGCCTTCAGGTAGACTTACCATCAATAGCCATATCAACGTTAATATACGCGACTCCACGTGCTTGAAGTATTTTAGCATGTTCCTATAGAGGTAATAATAATATTGCTTTTGGTGTAAACCGCGCAAGTRGTTGAGAAATACGTATGGCTGGATCGATAACCCACGGTTGAGACATACCGTGTCGTGACCTTTAATTCCCTACCTTATCTTCTCTAAAACGTTCCAAGTAACTAAATCATTTATTATAATGTTCGTATAAAACAAAAACGTCGTACGTTAAGTAGTTATCTGTGTAATATATCGTACTTGACAACAGACTATTGTTGCGCCTCATATCATAGTTATCAGCTACTATGTTCATATTAATGGGTTGCAAGCATTCCCAAGCGATCGTTAAGAGACAAAAGCATGGCAGCCATTGTTGTGCATGCTAATAAGAAATATTATGTTAAATGGCACCAACGCTCCTCCGAGAGGCTTGGATGCCGTAACGTGCAATCGAAGAGTAGTGCAAATTCACCCTCATTTTGCTGTTCATTTATTGCAGACTGTTTCATGATATCTTACCTCTAGCCATTCCGTTGATCCAATCAGACCAGATTCCTCTGCATCCCAGCTGGCAAATATAATAGTTCTTCTTGGCTTCCAACCTGAAATATTTATTATACATAACCACATCTCAACGCGCCCAGCAAATGTAAAYAAGATTTTCTTTTCTGAGATTTCAAAGAGGTTATCAACCAATAAATAGTTTTATAAATAATGAGATTCTTTGACAGTGGATTCCACAGAGTGGCTCCGCTTCACTGGTTTCCATTTGGGATTTAAAAGTTGGTTTTTACGGAGGGAGGAACACCGGAGAACAAGGAGAAAAAATCCTCGAAGCATGCACAGGAGAGCGCCAACAAACAACCCTTATATACGACATGCAAACACGACTTGAACCCGGTCGCATTGGTGAGCGAACCGTGCTTCACAGGCACAATAATCCGCTCTTGACTTGGTTAATAACTTGAGGATAAACTACGCGTACGCGTAGTTACTAGGTTTCAAAATATTCCTTTCTACTGATTTCACCTTTCTTCAAGAGCATCCCRAAGACTCTCGCTAACTCCATCATGKCTGCTGTCCCACTTGATGGATCTGTACCTCCGTATACCCATGCGTCTCGATGGTTACCGATAATAACGAGCTGGTCTGCCAGGAGATTGAGAAGATTATCATTAGTACTGACCGGGTTTCTTGCTGGTGAGCTTTATAC